GCCTCCCTTATGCATTTGACCCCTATGATGTGATCTTCACATCTGCAGCTTCAAAGGCTGCACATGAGCACATTAGGCTTCTTCAGAGGTGGAACCACTTCCATGACAAATCCATCAGAGGGTTGCTAAAGACAGTCAAAGCAAGCAAGAAATCGGTTGACTCATTGAAGAAGAAAGTGAGGAAGCTCAAGAAGAAGTTGGGAGGATCTTCACCAGCCAAGAAATCTGATCAAGCGATCCAAACAGAGCCACAAGGAGGAGGATCTGATGCTGAAGACATGTTTGAGGACACATTAGAGGACAGTCCAAGAGAGACACTCATTCCACATCAGTGAGCGGCCAAGGACACAAGTTTCTCAACCGGTCAGACATTCATCTCATGTAGCTGCTCCAAAGCGAAAAGGAAAGAAGAGAAGGACTAGACAGTAAACTCCATCAGAGGAGAAAGCTTCACCTTCCCATGCCATTGAGAGTTCAGACTCTCACCACTCCTCCACCTGAAGTAAGGTACACCACACTAACCATTGTAAATACCACTCATTTTTTTATTGCGATTGTTTGCTTGATGTTTGTGAACAATCTCCTTAGCATTTTTATTACACAGGCACTGTGTAATTTAAATGTGGGGGAGAGTGTATGATGGACTGATGCTTGCATGTGCATTTGCATAATAGAATATGAACCATGCATCATGATTTCATAGCATATAAGGCATAGAAAAAAACAAAAACAAAATTGAAAATTTTTCAAAAATTGCTTCACAAAAAGAGTTTGATTTTCATGCAATCTTATAGGACTTAGACTTCATGCATTCATATAGGACTATCTTGCTTATTTAAATTTGGAACTATGATAGTACATCTTTGTTAATGCTAGTGGTTTATGAAAATGAAGCCCTTGTTTTTAATCCTTTGGTGCATTTGATGTTGAACTAGAAATAAAGCTGAACCACTTTTGGAATTTGCATTTGTGTGAGCTTTGTTTGAGACTGAAGTATTCTTTGAAATGATTTCAACCTTTGTTTAAGTGGAACCTAATTTGAATTTGCAATTATCATGCCTTATGCTTTTGTGATTGATGTCATGGATAATTTAAAATATTTGGATCTTCTTATTCTCTTTTGCCACTCTCTAAAAGATCCATTTAGATTTCCCCACCCTTAACTAAACCTTCTTTCAATCCAAAACATTAACAGTGTGTGATTTGTGAGGCCTCTTCCATCATGGTTGTTGCTTAGCAAAAGGTGTTGGGCTGGAACTACAAGGGAAGTACTTCCATTGTAGAACTAGCTCACTATTGAGTTAGATAGGTTAGGATGTTTGGGGAATGGTCTGGGGTTATCTTGGGTTATCTTGGGTTTAGTTTTTAAGAGAGGCAAAAAAAGTCAAGGCACAAAAGAAAAAAGAGTGTGACACAAGCAAAAGGGTGGAAATAGCGGTTCTAAACTCAAAGAAAGAAGGCTCATGTTCAACGAAGAAAAGAAGATGCAAGAAGTGAAAAACAAGAAATTCAAAAAGCCAAAGGCTAATTAAGCAGCAGCATCACCAAATAAAGGAGCCAAACTCAAAAGAAGCAAATCGCCACCACATGAAGTTCAAAAGAAGAGGTGTCCTCCAAAGCGCTTGAAGAAGAAACGTTTTTGGGTTTTAAAAAGGGTTTAAGTTCTTAAAAAGGGTAGCATAGGAAGGTCTTACATTGCTTAGCTAGAGTTAAGAACACATCTTATAGATCTTGGATAGATGAGAGTCTTCATTTGTATGTGTAAGTTGTTCTTTGACTCTTAGCATTTTGCCAAAGCACAACCATAATTTTCCTTGAGAGAACCCTTTTTAAACACCAAAACCAGTTTGTGAAGTGAGAAAATTTTCATTCCACTAAGCCTTATCCTTTAGCCAAATGACACTTTCGCATTTGAATAAGCATGATTCACGGTTTGAGCATAATTGAATGATAAAAAGGTTGTTTGATTTGATGAGTATGTGTAGGTTGATAGCTTTGTGATCATTCTTGTTTTGTGATGAAAGTGGCTAAGTTTTTAAAGTATTCTTCCATCATGTGCACTCTAGAATTAGGAACATGGACTTCATTTTGATTTATTATTAGCATTTTCAAAGATATGAGTTCCCATTTAAAACCTCATCACCATGTTAAGTGTTTGTTTGCTTGAGGGCAAACAAAAGCTAAGTGTGGGGGTGTTGATAGCTTGCTATTTTAGATCATTTTAGGCTGCATTTCATGCATCTTTCCCTCTTTTTTTGCATTATAGTTTAGCATTTTAGTATCATTAGCACTTAGAATCAACATAGCATGCATTTAGCTTAGGATTGCATATACATGTGCATGTTTATGGTGGTTTTCAGGTGTTTTTGGAGTTTTTTCGAGCTGGGGAGGAGATGGAAGCAGCTCATGATCAAAAAAGATGTCAGAAATGGAGTTCTTGCAAAGTCTGGTCCATATCGAGCAAGAATATCGAGCAGAACACCCATGGAGTGTGCTCGATGCAAGCAGCAGGACGAGAGGAAAAGGATCATCACGTGGATTCCAAGCCATTGGTCTGCATCGAGGACCAGCATCGAGGAAGGACGTCGATACACGCTGCACGAGCCATATCGAGGTCTCATATCGAGCAGAACATCGACCGTACGACCTCGATGCAACTCATCCGCGTTGACCACTTGACTTTTGTTAACCTTGTCCTATCTTTTTAGTTTTTTTATGCTTCTTTTGGCTCCCTACTATAAAAGGGAAGCCACAAAACATTATCTTTATCAAGTTCTATCTTATCAAAGTTTAGCTTTCTATCAAAAACCTTCTCTAAACCTTAAAGGACGATTTGCCTTAAAGATCTTTATCTTTAATAAAGTTTGCATTTTCATGGTTTAATCTTGTATTTTCATCTTTGTTCTTGCATCTTGGTAGATTAGATTTATCATCTTTGCATTTTAACTTCATCTAGTTATGTTTAACCCCAAATCAATGGGATTAAACATGATTAGTGAGTAGTCTTCTTTATATTTAGGGTTCTAAGTAGGGAAAATAGTGATTAAGATGTGATTAAAGGGATTAGGCTTGTTTAATGGTTCTCTGTTATCTCCTTCACTTGCAAAGTGATTAATGTTGATAAAGCTTGCTCCTTTTGATTGTATATGGTTTGATAGATGCATATGGTTCGCTTAATGACATGGTATCTCTTTTCTAAGCATGGTTCGCTTATTTGGCTTAATAGTCTAGTTGGGTCTATGTTTCCTTTGTTCAGTGACACCAAAGTGATAGTTCACCTTGCTAGATGATTCGCTTAGGGCTAGATAATGCTGGTTTTGAGATTCTTACTTGATGGTAAGATAATATGCATTGAAAGATCTTGCCTTTGCTTCATTCTTGTTCATTGCTTAGCTTTGTTAGGACATTGCAAGTTTGTGCTTAAATCCATAATGTTGATTGGTGTATAGCTGCTTAGGTCCTTATTGATTCACAAGATTGATAAGTTGATTTGAATTCTTGCTTGGGTGAGAGAGTAGTTGCTTGATTGGTGCATCTCTTAGGCTAGAATGGTTCTGATCTTTATGCTCATGGTTGAAGGATACACTATCACAAGTGGGTCAGACACTTCAATCTTATTGAATATGAATTCCTTATTGACGCCAAGTGTTTCTCTTTAGATACCTTGTCTAGGAGCATAACATTTAGAATTGCTTGCTTGTTAATATTTGTTGATTGCCTTAGTAGAAATCCCCTTGTCACTCTTGAGAACCACTATCCCACAATTGCTTAGAACCTTGAGTCTTGTTTTTAATTAATTGTCTTCAAAGTCATCTTGCTTAGTTCTTGCTTTAGTAGTCATTTCTTGCTTAATTCTTGTTTAGTCATTGCTTTAAGTTCATTGTTTAGTTTTGTTCACTTGAATTTAGTTTATGCTTTCATTCCATTGCACCATTAGGTTGTTAGACTTGCTCTTGCATAATCAAATCTCCAATCTTGCTTAGCTTACAGCATTATTTGCATCTCATCTTCCACAATTTGGATTGATACCTGATCTCTATTCTATAACTGATTAGAGGCTAATGACATTTGAGTTTAGACCCAAAAAGTCTTGTTTCAGTGTCAAAAACCTTAGGAAGAAAAGCTCCTTTTGGTCTTCCTGAAGGTCCGGTTGACCTCTCGTGTAATGTTTGCAGGCTCGTATACGACGACCACCCCGTTATTCGGACTCAAACAGGCCTCCGCCCCGGAACGACTCATCGCTTTTTCTCAGAAGACGAAACTCGAAGACACAACTCCACCCTCGAACGAATCATATATTCCCACGTGACATTCTGAAATTTACTCATAAACAGTAATAATTATATTTTTATAATATATTGTGTTTATATAATTTTATTTTATTTTGTATTAAATTTACTTTATGTAATATTGTTGTTTGTAAAATCTATTTTCAAAATAAATTAAATTTGCTTTATGTAATATTTTGATATATTTCAAACATGTTTATCTAATTTTATATGTAAAAATCGAATTTATATAAATATTAATAAAATATAATATTATAAGATTAAACGTGAATATTTTGAAAAATTAAAAACACTGAAATGAAAAAAAAACTTCAAATTTAAAATTTTACAATTTGTATTAGAATGAAAATAGTTTTAAATTTAAAATTTTAAAGTCTACGCTCTAATGGTTTGATTTTAGTGTCTAACATCTACCGAAAAAAGAAACACATAACATGAGACGTAGAAACGTCAAAAACTATAGAATAGTAACAATATTATATGTGATCACAAAAGTAGGCAGCGCCACCACAAATCTCTGTCACATTCTCTCCTTCCTTTTCAGCCTTGTATCTTATTTTCATTTCTTTTTAAATATTATTATTATATCTGCAAATCTCTTCTTATAGCTACACACAAACATCGAAACCAAGAAAAAAAAGATACACACATCGAAAGTCGAAACCAAGAAAAAACTCTCCATTACTAAAAAAATCAAAGAAAGATTTTAAAATGAAGAGCACACATTTGTCTTTGCCTGATGAATTCAAGGAACCAATATCTCCGGGATCTTCTCACCGGAAACAAAACAAGGAGGTCACTAAGACATGTTTGCCGGAGAGCATTACGAGTCACCGGAATATTCAAGAGCAGCCGGAGAAGACTACGGTGTTGTCGGGACATGATAGGCTAAAACGACACCGAGAAGAAGTTGCCGGAAAAGTTCCAATACCAGAGAGCTGGGGAAAAGAAGGATTGCTTATGGGGTGGATGGATTTCTCTGCCTTCGACGCTTCTTTTACGTATAGTCAGATTGTTTCTGCTCGAGCTGCGTTAATGGCTGACGCCGGAGATGACGTCGGAGCTAGAGGAAGTCGGACTCAACGGCTCCGAATTGAAAGTTCTTGTTGATTTTGAATTTCTTAGAGAAATGTTTATGCAAATAATATTCATATTGACGTTGAAATGTTGTTAGATACTATCTTCATATTGATTTTTGGATATTGGAAAACTGATGCAACCATTCAAAGTTTTAGTGAGTAATTGAATTTATTGATTTAGGGAATTGCTAGTAAGAAAACATATATATAACAATTTTTTTTTTTACTTTTGTCATCATAATACTAGTTTTTTTATAAACGTGCTTCATATGAATAATTTATTTAGGGTGAATTTGGTGTCTGGCCATAATGAGATCTAATATAAAGCTTATAGTCATATGTTGGACAAAATATAGAAAGTAACCATAAAAAAAATATTGACGAAACTACATTTCCTTCCGATAAGTGGGAAAATGAATTACCCCCTTCTCCCACATGACGGTTCCAGCAGCGTAGCCTTTACAACATATCCACATATTTACTAATATAATCATGTGATGAAGAAGACATCAATGCTGATTAAACCAGACTAGCCCATGGAAACCGTACTAGAGCTAACCAGGAGCACTCCATGCTTGTACCTAATGAACAAGAGAAGTTTGTAACTGAATATAATGGAGTAAAAGACCTAATCTTGGAGTTTCACCATCAAATTATCAATAAAATCACATTGATCGAGCTAAACCATCATTGGTTTGGAGTAGAAATAAAGATATGCAAAATAGCCTCTTAAAACATGTGCATGGAGTTACACATGCTTTCTCGGGCCCATTTAAGGAAACCATGGGTATTTTTCATACGAACTCCCATCATTTACATCCTTTGGTGTGCTCAGAAGATACCAAAGGAAGAGAACCACCAAATCAAGCCATTAACCATATCAAACCGTCCTAAACCATAGACGATATCACCGTGAAGAAGGTTTCCTTTTCTGATCACATTAACTATGTTTCAAAGGGAAACTATGACCAACGACCACTTTATTTTGTCAATCTCAACTATCCATTCAAGATAGAAGATCCTGAACGTCCATACTGTGCTGAAGATTCAAGGATTCATATCTCATTTACCGCCTCAATTCAAGCCCCTTGCGCATTGATACCCAACGGCTAAATGACAAGAATCTCTTCACTTAAACCATCTTTTTCTGCTTTCTTTTTATGTTAAGACCATTAAAAGTCTTTGTTATTTCGAGCATTATATAAGCTCAATACCTTTGTACTTTCATTTCACCTTATTATTGAATAAAAAAAAAATTTGTTTGTTTTCTAAAGAATCATCTTTGAATAAATTTGTTCTTGCGAATTCTAAGTTTCTTTGTGGAATCAAAGTACTTATAAATCGTGTAGAGTCTAGAAACTCATGCGAAGAATAGCCTTTAGGAACTAAAGTCTTAAATCGTTGCCTGTAGAATCAGCCAACAAATCGGTTACAAACCATTCCACCTCCTTCATCAGTAGTTTGAAAGTCTTAAATCGCTGCCTATAGAATCATCCAACAAACCGGTTACAAACCATTCAACCTCCTTCATCACTAGCTTGAAGGTCTTGAAATCAATGGTGTCTAGATTGGTGGAATCCATTTCTATATCATTGGTATCAGAGCTTAAAAGCTCCTATCTCAGGTGTAGTCACATCTCTTTTCACGTTTTTGCTATTTCAATTCTGTCTTGTTCAAGTTTGTTTCATTTTAAAAACCAAAAACAAAAAAAAAAATTGTTTATTATTTTGTGTGTTTTGTTTGAATTTTCTAAAATCCATTGAAATCCATATTTTTTTTGGTCTTTTTCAGTTTTTCAGTCTCTTGAAAAACCATAAATATGGTTTTTCATAAACTGACAATTGATTTGTTAATTGTAAATCAAATTAGAAATAGACTGGTCAAATCCTTGGATTTCCTTGTTTGTCTTTTATCTTTGATTTAAGCACAACTTTGCTTTGTTTTGTTTGAATCTTTGCAATGTACCACCATGGGAGATGCACAAGCAGAACCTTTACAAACCATAATGGCCATGATGACCACGTTCCAAGGCCAATTCACAACAATGAATGAAAATATCAATGTTTTAAGAGCTAAAACCAACACCAGCTTAGATCATTTGGAGCACCCTGAACGGCAAGATCCTATGGCACCAAGGAGATATGTACAACCTAAAGGCCCTAATGATGCAAATCGTGTTGAACAACCACCTGATGTACCTCCACATCGAGCACCAGATCATATACATGTAGCACAAGATTTTCTCAATAGATCGCAACAGGCCACATAATGAAGATAGAAGTTTGCTACCAGAAGTGAAGCTCACTGCCCCTAACCTTTACAGGAAAGATATATCCATCAGCCTACTTGGAACAGGAAAGAAGAATGGAGCATTTGTTTGAATACTATACTTACACTAAACCAAACATGATTGCACTTGCTATTGTCAGCCTTACTGATCATGATTTAGCTTGGTGGGATCTAGAAGTAGCAGAACAGAGAAGGTTACGCTATCTTCAAATCACAAGATGGGCTGACAGGAAGTTTGAGCTTTAAAAGAGGTACGTTCCCCTCATTACCATAAAAACTTACTCAAGAAATTTCGTGCTTTGTATCAGAGATCTAGAAGTGTTGAAGAATACTATGAAGAGTTAGATTTTTTGAGAAGTCACCTTGAGTTAGAAGAACCAGAGGAGTCCCTCATATCTCAGTTTGTAGAAGGTTTATAAGATAGAATACAACGAAAGGTGAAAATTCAGCCATACCATTTATTGCAAGAGCTTCTCCATCTAGCTATTCAAAGAGAGCAACATATCAAGAGAAAAAACATCAACAAGAAGTCGCTCAAACAGCAACACTTGGAACCAACATCAACCTGATATTGCTGCATATTTCATGTGTTTTGCATACATAATAGATAGTTTCTCATGCATTTACCTTGCACTTTAGGCTAGTTTGCATCACTTTAGGTCCTATAGTACTTTTGCACCAGCATTTGCATGTTTCTTGCATTTTGCATCACAATCAGGTTGTTTTCGGTTACATTGGAGCTATGGAAGATTTGTGGACGTGCTAAGGCTCGTGAGGAAGTCCGTGGATACTTGTAGAAATCAGGATTGCACGCTAAGGACCTGAGATCGAGTAGCAGATCGAGCAAGGCAGGTCGATCTAGACGAGATCGACCAGAAGGTCGAGTGTGGAGAACGATCTGAAGTACGGACGTAAACGACGCCATGCAGATCGAGGACCGGATCGAACTTCCAACCCGATCAGCACAAGATCGACTCAGAGATCGACCAAGAGCCATCTGATCCAAGACGTGATCGAGTGCCAGATCGAGCTTCGTGATCGATTCCAGACCAACCTTATCTGTCCAGCCTGTTTTTGGACCGTAGCGAAGGGGGGGGGGGACCATTTGCGGTTTTGCCATTTTTGGCAAAGAGCAACGATCCCTTTCATTATTCCACCATGTCGACAACTTTCCTATCATCTCTCTCGTTTTAGGCAATTCGCCATTGTAGACTTTCGAGCTTTTTTCTCACTCTTATGTTTTCAATATTGGATCTTTGCTTTTAATCAATCGTTTTTCATGTTTAGTTCATCGTTTATTGCATTTTTATCGGTTTACTTTATGAGTCGTGAGTAGTTTCATCGGGTTTTTGGGGTTGAGAGGATTCAAAGAGGTTGAAAAGGTTTAAAGTTTGGTGTTTTCTTGTTCTTCATCGCCTTCTCTTCTAGGATTTGAGCGCTTAAGGCTTAAAGACTCTCACGCCAAGATCCTTATGATCAGAGGGATATCTTACCTTGATGGGATTCAGATGTCCTGGAGAAGTCAAATCCTAGAGGCTAATCCTTCCTTTCCCAAACGCCATGGTCGTTTAGGGGATTAGTTAGACCGTGTGTTTGAAATCCGTGTTTTATGCCTTTCAATCTCTTTTTCCACCAAAAGCCATGGGTTTGGAGAAGAGAATGAAAGAGTGATCCATACAACACGCCATGGATGGAGCTTGTTTTGTTTTCAAGGCCTAGAGACTCTCACAAAGTGAGTAGATCTAAAGTTTTCAAACAAAGCTTGAACCTTTGAAACCCTCGAACATGATTCTCAACCCTGGACCCTCTTTCTTAGTATTTTATCATATCTGTTAATCATTTGCTTGTTATCTGTTTGCATCTTGGTCGTTAGACTCATTTCTGTTCGAACTGTTTAGTAGATCGATCGTTGTTGCTTGATCTAGTGGTCGATCCCGTGGTCGATCCACTAGTCGATTTTTATGAATTTGTAGCTTTGCATTTTAATTATTCCGCTTGTTCCTCGTGGTAGTTAACCCTCTTCCAGGGATTTTAAAATTGTTTTGTCTTGCATTTCATCATTGCATCTAGTTTTTAGGATTTTTACAAAACCGTTCATCATTTCCTTAGCTTTGCATGATCTTTGCATTCTCATTGCACTTTCTAGCTCCTAGGTTGGATTGATTCCTCTTGCACTGTACTACGACTGTGTGCTGCTTGAGTTTTGATAACCACCTGCATTGCTTGCTTCTGTAGACGATAAAAATTTGTTATCAAATGGCGCCGTTGCCATCTTAGGAGTGTTTAGAAAGCATTGAGATTGGGGGTTTAGTAAAGACTAAGCCTTTTTTTTTTCTTTTGGTTATTGATTTCTCTACTCTCAAACTTGTGTCTTTCAGGTACATGAATCTACGTTCAAGGGGATACAACAATCTACTTCAACCCTTGGACAACATTCATCAACTTGGCCATTCAAGACAAAGAAGAGTTCGAGAGCAAGCTAGAGCTTTTGAGGAGATTGTTCAGCAAGGTTCAGTGGATTTTGAAGCAATGGCTGAGCACGAATATCCTGAGGGACTTCATGAAGCTGTGGGAAGGGGTAATGGAAACCCCCACCACGCGGCTAGACCCCCACGCATCATTGGAGCAGGAGATGCTCCCAATACTCACCATAATAGGTTTGGGATCACTCCTCCTCCAGTGCAGAACAATAATTTCGAGATCAAGCCAGGGTTTGTTCAGATGGTGCAAAACAACAAATTT